CATAGTGGTTAAAGCATATGGCTGCTAACCAGAAGGTTAGCAGTTCAAAACCACCAGCTGCTTCATAAGAGAAAGATGAGGCATTCTGTTTCCATGAAGATTTACAGCCTTGGAAACCTTGTGGAGTAGTTGGTGGGTATGAACCACTGATCTTGTGGACAGCAATCAAATACTTTAGCCACTATACCAACAGAGCTCCTCCTATAAACCACCAGGATGAGAAATTAGCAATGCTTGTAAAGATAGTATACTCTTCCTCCAAAAAATGAATCAAACTACACCATTAATTAAAAGGTCAGTCAGTCCTCTTCCACAGGAAGCTTTCACAGCTCTGCTGCCAGCAGGGCCACTCCATTCTCCACCAGCACCTGTGCTGGGACCCAATCACCATCCCCATCCCAAGCTGATTCTCCTCACTTATGTTCAGCTGGGAGACAGGCGGCAAGGCTGTTAGGTCTTTGTAGTTACACATATCCCCCCTCATCAGAATGAGACTGAGGGGCTGCTCAGGAACTTCTTGTACCTTGATTTCATTCAAAGTACCATTTTTTATACACACATACACACACACAAAGAAAAAACAAACCAATTGCTATGCAATAATTACAAGGAAGATGCCATCTACTTCTCAAACAATTGGCCACTGAAAACCTTATGACAGCAGTGTAACACTGTCTGATATATTCCTAGAAAAATTTGTGAATAGCCCTAAAACATTGTCCTATCTAGTGCCAGAAAATGATCCCATCAGGTCAGAAGGCACTCAAAATTTGACTGGGAAAGAGTTGATCCCTCAGAGTAGAGGTGAGTTTAATGATACAGAGTAAAGCTTTCAGGACCTTCATTGGCTGGTGTGGAATCACTCAAAATGAGTAGAAACAGATGCAAACATCCATTAATAGTTGAAACATGGAATGTACAAAGTATGGATCTAGCAAAACTGGAAGTTGTAAAATATGGAATGGGACACATAAAAATCAATACCCTAGTCATTAGTGAGCTGAAATCCACTGGTTTTGGCCATTTTGAATCAGACAACCATATGATCTACTATGACAGGAATGACAAATTGAAGAGGAATTGTGTGGATCTGTCCTGAAGTAAAACTCTGTCAGTGATAGGATAATATACATATGCCTATAAGGAAGGTCAGTTAATACTGCTATTATTCAAATTCATGCACCAGCCACCAAGCCAAAGATGAAGAAATTGAAGATTTATAGCAACTTCTACACTCTGAAGTTGACCAAATATGCAATCAAGATATGTTGATTATCACTGATGACTGGAATGCAAAAGTTGGAAACAAAGAAGAGTTACTGGTAGTTGGAAAATATGACCTTGGTGACAGAGATAATGCTGGAGATTGCATGATAGCATTTTGTAAGACCAACAACTTATTCATCTCTGAAATACCTTTTTTCAACAGCATAAGTGCTGGCTATACATGTGGAGTTCACCAAATGGAATACACAGGAATCATATTGACTACATCTGTGGCACGAGGCAATGGAGAAGTACAATATCTTTGGCCAAAACAAGCCCAAGAGCTGATTGTGGAACAGACCATCAACTGTTCATATGCAAGTTCAAGTTGAAGTTGATGACAATTAAAACAAGTCCATGAGAGCCAAAGTATGACCTTAATAACATACCTCTTGAATTTAGATACCATCTAAACAATAGATTTGAGGCATTGAAGATCCATGACCAAAAACCAGAGGAATTGTGTGATCAAATCAAGAACATCATCCATGAAGAAAGTAAAAGGTCATTAAAAAGACAAGAAAGGAAGAAAAGACCAAAATGGATGTCAGAAGAGACTCTGAAACTTGACCTTGAGTGGAGAGTAGCTAAAGCAAATGGAAGAAATGACTAGATAAAAGAGCTGAACAGAAAATTTCAAAGAGCAGATCAAGAAGACAAAGCCAATTACTATAATGAAATGTGACAAGACCTGGAGTTAGAAAACCAAAAGGGAAGAACATGCTCAGTATTCCTCAAGCTGAAAGAATTGAGGAAAAAAATTAAGTCTTAGGTAAAAATATTGAATGATGCAGGAAACATCAAAAGAAGACAGAAGAAATATGCAGAGTCACTGTACCAAAAAGAATTGGTCTATGTTCATCTATCTCAGGAGGTAGCATATGATCAAGAACCAATGGTATTTAAGTAAGAAGACAAAGCTTCACTGAAGGAATTGGTGAAGAACAAGGCTCCAGGAATTGACAGAATACCCACTGAGTGTTTCAACAAATGGATGCCACACTGGAGGCACTCACTTGTCTATGCCAAGAGATTTGGAAGACAGCTATCTGGCCAACTGACTGGAAGAGATCCATATTTGTACCCATTCCAAAGCAAGGTGATCCCATAGAATGTGGAAATTAGCAAACAATATCATTAATACATGCAAGTAAAATCTTGCTGAAGATAATTCAAAATGGTTGCAGCAGTATATTGACAGAGAGCTTCCAGAAATGCAAGCTAGATTCAGAAGAGGATGTAGAAAGAAGGATGTCATTGCTGGTGCCAGATGGATCTTAGTTGAAAGCAAAGAATACCAGAAAGATGTTTACTTATGTTTTATTGACTAAGCAAAAGCATTCAATTGTGTGGATCATAATAAATTATGGATAACATTGAAAAGAATGAGAATTCCTGAACACTTGATTGTACTCATGAGGAACCTGTACATAGATCAGGAGGCTGTCATTCAAAAAGAACAAGGGGATACTGCATAGTTCAAAATCAAGAAGGGAGTGTATCAAGGTTGTATCCTTTCACCATACTTATTCAAGTTATATGCTGAGCGTATAATCCAAGAAGCTGGATTAAATGAAGATGAATGTGGCATCAGGATTGGAGGAAGACTCATTAACAACGTGTGATATGCAGATGACACAACTTTGCCTGCTAAAAATGAGGATGACTTGAAGCACTTACTGATGAAGATTAAAGACTACAGTCTGCAGTATGGATTGAGAATCTCTGGTGGCATAGTGCCTAAGGTATTTGACTGCTAACCACCTCAATATAAAGAAAACAAAAATCCTCACAATTGGTCCAATAAACAGCTTCACAATAAATGGAGAAAAGATTGAAGTTGTCAAGGACTTCATATTACTTGGTTCTATAATCAACACCAATGGAAGCAGCAGTGAAGACATCAGATGATGTAATTGGCCAAATCTGCTGGAAAAGACCTCTTTCAAGTGATGAGTGCAAAAATGTTTCCTTGAAGACTAAGGTGTGCCTAACCCAAGCCATGGTATTTCTATTTGCATATTTTGTATGTGAGAGCTGGACAATGAATAAGGAAGACCAAACAAGAGTTGATGTTTTTGAGTTGTTGTGTTGGAGAAGAATGCTAAGAGTACCATGGTCTGCTAAAAGGACTAACAAATCTGTCCTGGACGAAGCACAGCCAGAATGCTCCTTGGAAGCAAGAATGGCCAGACTTTGTCTCACGTACTGTGGTCATGTTGTCAGAAGGAACCATTCCCTGGAGAAGTATATCATCCTTGGTAAAGTGGAGCATCAAGAAAGAAGGAGAAAGCCCTCAATGAGATGGATTGACACAGTGGGGGCAACAATGGGTTCAGGTATAGCAATGATTATGAGACTGGCACAGGACCAGGCAGTGTTCCATTCTGCTGTGCACAGGGTTGCTATGACTTGGAGATGACTCGACAGCACCTAACAACAACAACAACTATTCCAACTCATGGTGATCCACTTGTGTCAGAGTAGAACTGTTTTCCATAGGATTTCCAATGACTGATATTTTGGAAGTAGATTGTCAGGCCTTTATTCTGAGGTGCCTCTGGGTGCACTCCAACCTAGGTGGATTTGAACTGCCAACCTTTCCCATCAACTTTTCAGTTATCAGTGCAGTGCATTAAAAATTTGAGCCACACAGGGAGTCCTTTATATTCACAAGAATAGTCTAATTCTTTATGTATTTAGTCATTAAATACTTGCTGAAATAGGAGGCTTTGCTTAATGTCCCTTTTTTTTTTTTTTCCTGGTAGCACTCTGACTAAATAGTGTTTTCATAACTAGAATAAAAAAGTCAACTGAATAACCTGAACACCACATATGAAAGGAAATAAAATCTCCACACATAATCACCACCAGACAATCTGAATGTTGTCAAGAACACACTCATATCTCCAGCTGTTCACATAGTAATCAGATTTGATTATCTTATTAAAAATAAAGGAAAAATGAGAAAGTGTAAAACACAAGAGTAGAGGAACAACATGGGATGGAAGAGATAAAAATAAAATCTCTGATCCATATAGACTCTCACAATTGCTGAGGACACCAGTCAACCATGCCCTCTAAAGCCCCACAGGGAAGAAAAGCATTTTCATCACCTACTTCAGCCAACCCACTGGCAGCAGTCACCCAGCAACCCTCACAGCACCTACATTTGGACCTCCACAAGAGCAGCTGTTGTGTCCCAAATAATCTAGTTTTCCTAATGTATCTCAATCAGTATTGTTCTCAGTAAAATGTCTACTATAAAATGTTTATGTGAGGAAAATGCAAAGTAATGAGGTAGCTGCAATTCCTCTTGTTGGCTAGTGCCTCTCCAAAGTTCTTTTGATTGACAAGGACTAAATTATGTTACTAATTTTGTAATCACACTTAATGCTCAAATTACTACATGGTACTAGACTATTGCAGTAGAGGTATTATGTTTTTTACATTGTAGGTGGTGTTTTTATGATGTCATGGCATTTCAATTGATTGAGAGGCCCTCACTTCCCCTACCTCACTTGTTAGAGAACTGCACAGACATTGCTTATGAATTTAAACTCCTCGAAGACATAGTGGACAGCCTAGGACTTCGTGTGCAGTATTCCAACAGCCCACACTTCCCACTCTTCTAAGGGCGGTAATTCCTCCTGTCTTTTTATGGGAACTTGCCCTGGAAACATACTGCTATGGCAGTGAGCTTTGAGGAAGAATAAAGAAGGGCAGATACTCACCCACAATCTCACTGGGCTCTTTGTTGTAAAGTTTTTTGTTCCAGTACAGGAGTCGGAGGAAGGGGAAGGAGACCAGGAGGACGAGGCAGATCCCCACAAACATGTGTGCCGTGAATCCCGCAAAGTCCAGGCCCTTAAAGTGCAAAAAGGGGGTGAGATGGCACAGGAGCTCAGAGCAAGCAGAGATGAAGTCACAGGGTGCCAGGATGAGGGGTGGGCCCATATCAGGCCTGGGGATAATTTGCTCTTTATTAGGATTTGGAAAAGGCTTAAGGTTTTTGTTTGTTGGTTTGTTTTCATTCATGTTGAAAAACTCATTCTTACAAGCAACCGTAGGAGGAAAACAGACAGATGATCCCATCTGATTCCCAGCTTGGCTCACCTTGTTGCCACAAAGGGCAGGCACATTCCCCATGATAAATGGGTGTTAAAGACTGAGGGGAAAACACATGAAAGCACACCACTTAGATCCCTGCCTTGGATGCTGAAAGAGTGATCTCCACCTGGGAAGGACAAGCTATCCAGGGCACCAAGGATTGGTCCTGGGGCTGATCCTCAGCAAAGTCTTTCCTCCTCCCCAATCCCTGTGCCCATTCCTGGCCTGCCTTTGGGGTTCAGTAAGACCAAGTTTAGGTTGGTGTATCAGGGAACAAATCTGCAGAAGCAACAGTAGTTAGATTCGGTACTCTCATTCCTTTTGTACCTGCCCCATAAAAGTTACCATTTGTTAGAAGGTGACTCTTTCTTGCAGCATCTAAACACACAAGTGCCACAGAGAAGAATTAAACACAGTGGCAAGCACAGCACAGTGTGCTGGTGGCAGGGTGCACATGGGGGTAAGGAGACAGTAGGTCTCTGGGACGTTAGTGAGGACCACCCATAGTGCACTAGATGGGAGTCAGAAAGACACCTGGGAAGGCTTTGGCTGCCAGAAGTTATTTAAACTGTATGAACTGTGGCTTAAAATTTAGTTATTTCTCCCCCTCATTTCTAGAAAAAAATATGAAATCACTTTATTTCCAATGATACAACACAACTAGGTATCATGACTAATAAACTTGCATCAGGCTTTAGTGCTTGCCAACGATGTGCAATAACCTGGAATTTTTCATCTCTCACACATCAAATGGTTGTCCTGGAAAACCACATTATAAACACAGATGGAGCTATAGGACTCATTCACAGGCAGATAGCAAGGAAACTCACAGAGAGCTGGGGCTTCCAGAACATTTTGAATTGTGTAAGAATTCACCACTTTCCTGGTAGTTCTTCATGGAAGGTCTTACCTTGGACTTTGTATTTATCTATGTTGTTGTTGTTGTTGTTGTTGTTGTTAAGTGCCGTCGAGTCGTTTCCGACTCATAGCGACCCCATGCACAGCAGAACGAAACACTGCCCGATCCCGCACCAGCCCCACAATCCCTGCTATACTTGAGCCTATTTATCTATAGAACTCATATTCCAAATATCTGGTTAAAAAGTTTCACAATACTTTTAGTGGCCCATGAAATGTTTGAATATTTTCTAAAATCAGAAGCAAAAAAAAAAAAAGAACTCTGAGGTTGAATAAAATGGTTTAAAATATAATGTTAATATATTTGTCTTTATACTAACTCAGTCATGAAATACCATTGTTAATATTTTTTGGTCAAAAGAATCCGCTGGAAGATAATAACTATAAAATGTTGCCCCATTAGTTGTGGTGGAACAAGTGAAGAAAAAAGTGATGAGTAGAGTAAAGGTAAAAAAGAATGAAGAAGGTATTGGAGTTCCTCCACAATAAAATAATGCAGCACTGAGTAAAAGTATATGGCTGCTACCAATGTGGTAATTGGCAGATTTATGAAGTAAGAAAAAGGTAAAATGGAAAAGTCCAAACTGATAACTTTAAGAAAAAAATAGGCAGATGTACTGTGCTGTTGTTGTTGTTAGTTGCCCTTGAATCACTTCCAACTCATGGTGACCCCATGTGTGCAGAGTAGAACTGCTTCATAGGATTTTCATGGCTGTGACATTTCTGAAGCAAATTGCCAGGCCTAACTTCCAAGTTGCCTCCTGATGGGTTTGAACCAACTACCTTGTGATTAGTTGTTAAGTACTTGTTGTTGTTAGGGGCCATCAATTTGGTTCCAAATCATAGTGACCCTATGTAAAACAGAACAAAACCTTGCTAGGTCCTGTGCCATTCTCACAATCATTGTTGTTTGAGCCCATTTTTACTTTACTGTGTCAATTCATCTTGTTGAGAGTCTTCCTCTTTTTTGATGACCTTCTACTTTACCAAGCATGATGTCCCTCTCCAGGGACTGGTCCCTCCTGATAACATGTCCAAAGTATGGGAGATGATGAACTCTTACCATCTTCACTTTTAAGGAGCATTCTGACTGTACTTTTTCCAACACAGATGTGTTTATTCTTCTGACAGCCCATGATATATTCAATATTCCTCACCAACACCATAATTCAAATGCATCAATTCTTCTTTTGTTGTCCTTATTTATTACTTCTTCTTGTTTTAAGTCATGCAATAGATGAAGGTCCTGAGAGCTATACTTCATCTACTTCATTAAGGTCAACTCTAGTTTGACGAGGCAGTTCTTCCCAGTTATAATTTAAGTGTTTTTCAATCTGAGGGGCTTATCTTCCATCACTATATCAGACAATGTTCCACTGTTAACCATAAGGTTTTCACTGGACGATTTTTTCAGAAGTAGATCGTTGGGTTCTTCCCTTCAGTCTTTCTTGGTCTGGAAGCTCCTCTGAAACCTATCCACCATGGGTGACACTGCTAGTATTTGAAACACTGGTGGCATAGCTTTCAGCATCACAGCAACATGAAAACCAAAACAGTATGACAAATTGACAAACAAGTGGTGGAGTCAAGTGCTTAGTGGGATGCAAATGTTTTCCCCTAAGCTTCTCAGGCATGTGGGTGTTATATTGCCTTACTCTGTAATTCCCTACAAGACTGCTTTCCTTAATGACCAATTGTCATGAGTCAGAATTGACTCCATGGCAGTGGGTTTGGCTTTGATTTTACTATTCATTTAGGACCCCGGGTGGCATGATGATTAATGCACTTGGCTGCTAATTGAAAGGTTGGTGGCTTGAACCTACCAGCTGCTCTGCAGGAGAAAGGTGTAGCAGCCTGCTTCCATAAGGATTTATAGCTTTGGAAACCCTATGGGGCAGTTTTACTCTTATCTAATAGGCTCATTATGAGTCGGAATTGACTCAACAGAAATGAGTTTGGGTTTTTGAGCAACTATTCATTTATAGAAATGAAGCACTTTCTGTCAGCCTTTTTTCCTATAGTGTGGTCATTCTATCTTTCCCCTTCAAGTCCTTTTTTCTTTTTTTTTTTTTCCTGTCCCACACAGCCATTTTCTTCCACACTGTCATCACTTAAATATCCAAATGATGAAACACTTAATTACTTTTGGTGCAAAACAGCAAGAGACGATGCACTTTTAATCAGATCAAGACATTTCTACCCATGCAAGCACCATCTATTTATGAGGATACAGCTGTGGGTATTCTGGCCCAGAAACATCATCTTCTTGGAATGATGCTTTCAGGCTAGCTCTACGACAGGTCAAAATAGTCAACAAAAGTGTAGGAGGTAGCTCAAGCCAAATTGGTTTCTTACATTCTTCTGAGTGAAATACTCAGATATTTTTATGAAGTGTTGAGCTGAGTGTCTTGGATGTTTTAGTAAAATATCCAAGGTCTAACTTGAGAATAGAATCATATCTGAATACATGGTAAGTAGAGAATCACAGCTCCATAAATGAGGTTGATGGCAATGACAATACATTGATGTTGGACATTCTGGCCTGAAGCACTCTATACAACACACAGGGTGAGGTGTGCATAGGACACATGAATCTCTGGTAGAGATATAGGGTCCAGAGTTCCTAGCACACAAGAAATAGAAACATATGGAAGCAGCTGAACTATGCAACAGAATGTGTCACACAACAGGGGTTAA